GGGGATGGTCACGCCGCAATCCCTTCTCCTCCATTCTCCTCTCGGGATCTTGGGCACGCACGCACACGCGCCCGGCGTGAGTTTTAAGCCACCGGGTCCGGGACACGAACCGTGGTGGACTACGTGGGAGTCCAGTGACATAGCCATTACGCTAACTGCTGGTTCCCAACCCAAAATAATTTTTTAAAAGTAATCCCAGTTCTGCCATTTATTAGGTGTGTGGCTTCAAGCAAGCTGGGTTTTTGTTTTTGTTATTGTTTGTTTAAAGATTTATTTAATTCCACCTTTTTAAAATTTATTCATTCATTTATTTTAATCTGACTGGAGAGACACACACAGAGAAAGAGAGGAAAGGTGAGAAAACAAGCCACCAGGTCTAGGACTTGAACTGTGGTCAGCCATGTGGGAGTGTCCAGCACCTTAATCATCACGCCACCTGCTGGTTCCCTCCACTTACTTTTTTTTAATCTGACCAGACAGACAGAGAGAGAGAGAGAAAGGGGAAATGAGAAAGCAAGCCACAAGTAGGACTCGAACCACAGTTGGCTGCATGGGAATCTAGCGCCTTTAAGCACCATGCCACCTGCGGGCCCCGACTGAGCAAGCAAGTTGCCTTTAAAAGTTTAGGATCTCATTACTCATCTATGAAATCAGAATTACAATATCTACTTCACAATAGTATCATGTATGCAAAGGCACCATCTTAGAGCCTGCCATTCAGAAAGCACTCCTAATTCATGTTTCAGCTTATAGAAAGCAAGCTGCTGTCAGTTAGGGCCATGTCCTATTCACCTAACTGCCTGACCTGTACTAGGCCTTCAATAAACGTTTGTTGGACTAAAAACTCAATTTTAAGGACAATTAAGACTTGAAAATCTAAATATTTAGTTTGCATATTTCTCCTTATATTATGGACACTGATAGGATCTTTTAGGGTGAGGTCACTATTGTAATAGTTAATAAAGTATACCAATATCTCCTATTAACTAACAAAAGGTGGAAAACCAGGGGGAACCAGCAGTTAGCGTAATGGCTGTGTCGCTGGACTCCCACGTAGTCGACCGCGGTTCATGTCCCGGACCCGGTGGCTTAAAACTCACGCCGGGCGCGTGTGCGTGCGTGCCCAAGATCCCGAGAGGAGAATGGAGGAGAAGGGATTGCGGCGTGACCATCCCCCCTGGGGGGTGATTTCTCGCTTTCTGTCTCTATGTCTCTCTCTGTCTGTCTGGCGAGCGCACACGCCCTACAGTGAAAATCTCTCCAAAAAAAAAAAAAAAAGGTGGAAAACCAATGTTAGCTGCTCATTAACTACAAGTCCAAGATAAAAACCACATCCCGATCACCTGATACACTACTTCCACTATGATATGCCCACTCCCAAGGCGTCTCTGCAACTGGACCTTTGACACTGTCAGGGACTCTCCTAGCACAGAAATGAGCTACAAGGTCGTGACAACGTAAATAACTGTCCTTACGGTCACCAGGAAAGGAAGTAAATATCATTATTCCTACTACCTGTGCATCAATGACATATATCAATGCTCCTGTTCCCCTGAAGATCATCTCGTAGTCAAAGGTTGGGTCAAAAAAGTCCATTTGACCAGGAAAGTCCCATATCTGGAAATTCACAAAGGAGCTATTGGAAATGTCATCTTTATAAATCTTGTTGGTACTTTCCAAAAAGAGAGTCTCATTAGGTGACATCTTGTGAAACACCACCTGTTAAAAAGAAACAAGACAATTTTATGGCTATTCAACTTCCATGTTTAAATTCAAAATTCCATCCTTGATTATGATGAAAAAACAACATGATGCTATAGCACAAAAATTTTAGGGGCCAGTCAGTGGCATGGTCGTCAAGGCAGCTAGATTCCATATGAACAACTATGTAGTTTGAGTCTCAGACCCAGCGGCCTGGGGCAAACAAAATTTAAAGATAAAACCTGAGTGATGAACCGATTGCTACTCATCAGACAAAAGAAGACAGCAGGTTAATGTCCATTAAGTCAATTTCGGAGCTGAAACTTTTCTATTTCCTCCGAAGCACACTCAGTGCTGCTCACCACCACTGTGTGTGTGTGCATGTGTGTACCTGTGTGTGTGCACATGTTAAACTATATTAATCCTGTCAAAATCTGGTGGTTGGTTTGTTTGTGCCATGGGGCTTGTATGCTTGTTGGAAGTACACACAAGCACTGGATGTTATTTTCAAGTCTCTGGGTCCAGGGTTCAAACCACAGTCAGCCATGTGGGAGCCTGGCACCTTAATCACTATGCCTCCCGATGGCCCCTCAAAATCTGCTTTAAGATCATAAAAGGTTTACGTCTTAAGTTGTTTTTGTCACAGGGCATTTGCACTAGTGGAGAGAGACACTGAGAAAGGGAAAGTGAGAATTTACCCCCCGGGGTGGGATGGCCATGCCTCAATTCCTTCTCCTCTCTTCCTCTCATGACTTGGGACATGCACACACAACACCTGACCTAGTTTTTCAAGCAACCAGGTCCAGGAGTCAAGCCATGCTGTCAGCTATGTGGGATACAGCACCTTAACCACTGTGCCTCCTGCTGGCCCAAACCTTAAATTTTAAATTTCTGTTCATTACAAATTACTCGAATGCCTACTTCAGGCTCTAAGAGATAACAAAAGATGAAATGGATTGGACCCTGCCCTCACTGAGTTCACAGTTTTAAGAAAGAAATAAGGACAGTGACTATCCTAATAAAATGAGCAATAATTAAGAGTCACAACTGGCCCAGCCTCATGGAGCAGTCACAGCACACTGGACTGCAGTGCTGGAAGCCACTCAGCTGACCACAGGCTTGGGTCCCCAGCCTGGTTGACCCGAAATACACTAGGCCCGTGTGTCCATGCCCAAGATCCTGACAAGCAGGAGGGGAAGGGGTTCTCGGTGCCACAGTGTGACAACACCCTATCAAGATTCTTTCCTTTGTGTCATGCATGAGCACACACTATACCGAATTCAAAAAAAAAAAATCACAATCCATACACGCTGAACATAAAACTGTCACTGTTACTTTCTGTAAGAGAAAAATAGAGTTACTCCCAAGATTTAGTCAGTAAGTACTAAGTGAAAGTTAAAATCACTTTGCTAAAAAAAGACGACCATAAGGGACCAGCAGATGGTGTAATGGTCATGTTGCTGGACTCCCACATAGTCAACTACAGTTCAAGTCCCAGATGTAGCAGCTTAAAACTCACACCGAGTACATGTGCATGTGTGCATGTCCAAGATTCTAAGAGGAGAATGGAGGGAAGGGATTGCAGCAAGGCATCCACCGAGGGTAGGGAGGGTGGGGGGAGTTCCTCGCTTTCTGTTTCTCCATCTCTCTGGCGAGCCCACATGCCCTATAACAAAAATCTCTCATCCATAAATAAATAGATAGGTAAATAAATAAATAAATCCATATTTGGCTATAAAGATGAAAAGATAAATAAAATACAGTACTCCACCAACTATGAAAAAAAGACTTTTTATGGGACCCGCAGTTAGCGTAATGGCTATGTCGCTGGACTCCCACGTAGTCGACCCTGGTTCGAGCCCCAGACCCGGCGGCTTAAACTCACGCCGGGCGCGTGTGCATGTGTGCCCAAGATCTCAAGAGGAGAATGGAGGAGAAGGGATTGCGGCGTGACCATCCCCCCGGGGGGTGATTTCTCCCTATCTCTCTGTCTCTGTCTTTCTGGCGAGCACACACGCCCTATAGCAAAAACCTCTCCAAAAAAAAAGACTTTTTAAAAACAGCACATATGGGGTCAGCAGATAGTGTAATGGTAACATCACTGGACTCCCACACAGCCAACCATGGTTCAAGTCCCAGACTCAGTGCCTTGAAATTCATGCTGTGCATGTGTCTGTACATGTCCAAGATCCCCAGAGGAAAATGCAGAAGAGATTACAACAAGACCATCCTCCCCTGGGGGGGTGATATTTTACTTTCCCTACTGTTGTCTGTCTCTCCCACCACAGCACACATGCCCTAAGAAAAAAGCCTTTAAAAACAAAACAAAAAGGACCAGCAGGTGTCATGATGATTAAGGCACTGGATTCCCACATGGCCAACCATGGTTCAAGTCTTGGACCTGGTGGCTGGTTTTCTCACCTTCTGTCTTTCTCTTTCTTGCTACAGTGAATTTAAAAATACTGATAATAGGGACCAGCAGTTAGCATAATGGCTATGTCGCTGGACTCCCATGTAGTCGTCTGCGGTTTGCGTCCCGGACCTGGTGGCTTAAACTCACGCCGGGCGCGTGTGCATGCATGCCCAAGATCCTGAGAGGAGAATGGAGAAGGGATTGCGGTGTGGCCATCCCCCCTGGGGGGTGATTTCTCGCTTTCTGTCTGTCTCTGTCTGGCGAGTGCACATGCCCTATAGCAAAAACCTCTCAAAAAAAAATACTGATAATAAATAAAATTGAGTAATTTTTTAAATCAGATCTACAAAATCAGATCTATAAAATAAATCTACAGAGATTTATTCTAGATAGACTTTGCAACAGAATGGAAAGGAGAAATGACCTGGTGTCTGGGGATATTATTCTATCACAGATAAGCATCCTTAATCTGAAAATCCAAAATCTCACAATGCTCCAAAATGTGAAACTTTTTGAGCACTGACAGGACAGCACGAGTGGAACATTCTACACCTGACCTCATGCTGGTCACAGTCAAACGCTGCAATGCAAAAATACTATATAAAATTATCTTCAGGCTATGTGTGTAAGGTGCATATGAAGCATAAATTTCCTTTTAGACTGGGGTCCCATTCCCCAAAGATCTCAGTATGTATATGCAAATATTACAAGATCCAAAAAAGCCCAAGCCACTTCTGGTCCTAAGTATTTCTGATAAGGGATACTGATCTTTATCAACTCACTGTAATGGGATGACTGATGGAGAAGTCAACTTTGCCTCTATTTCCTTCTTACTAAAAAGTTTACAGCCCTTGGTTTGTTCTTAACAGACCCAAAGTGGAAACAAACGACTTGATGCAGGTCTGCAAAACGCTCTCAAAGTCTCAGATGACTTTTGTTACAAGACACCTGCAGAGCAAGCGCACCAGTAAGTACACTCGCCCTGTCACAAGCACTAAAATGGGTGCAACAGTAGTACCCGACTCCCAGGCACGCTCCAGTGAAGTCTCCTTCACACTAATACCGAGAGCGAGCATTAAAATGCCCAGGGCCTTAGTCACAACTCTTTCCGACGCTGCTCTCTGGAGCTCGGAGGGGATCCCTGCACACTCAGGTCACCTGAACTGAGAGGAACAAGTAACAACGCGGCAGGGGAGGGAAGCCACGAAGTTCTCCGAGAGAACTGGAGAGCACGCCTCCGTTCCGTGAATGACACACGGGCAGGGTCCCAGGGGGCGGAGGTCCCGGGCGGCGCTCCTGGGCACCTGCGTCCCTCCAGCCAGTTTCGCCTTCGGCGACCCACTCTCAGCCTCAGCTGACTTGGGCGTGGACGCCGAGGTCGGGGTCCCCGCGCCGGCCGCGCCCCGGCTCTGCGCTCGCAGGAGGATAAAGTGCCGCGGCACGGAGCTCCAGGCCAACCCGGCCGCCGCCCTCCGCGGCCTCCCGCCGGCGGCCCCCCGCGCCCCCGGCGGGG